TTCTTTTTCATTTCTTGAAGTTCTTTGTGACTCTTGGAAGATAAGTGTGTTTGTTTTCCACTTGTAAATTTTCTACTGATGAATTAATGAAAGTGTTATTGATAAAAAAAAAAAAAAATTCATTTACACTTTCATTTGGCCTTTGTTTCATTTCAGCCAAGTCTGTAATTGATAATTTCCTCTTGGAGCTCACAAACTGTGCTAAGAAAGCACGTTGCATATCATCCCATGTGATGATTGATCCTGGTGCTAATTCTGTGTACCAGGTAAAAGCTACTCCTTTTAAAGACTGCACAAATTGCCTTATTAATAAGGCATCATACATTGCTGATTCACCACACACAGAAAAGAAATGGGCCAAATGTTCATAGGGAGACCCATTTAATCCATCAAATTTCTCAAAGTTGGGCTTTTGATATCCTGAAGGAAACGGGAGTGTATCATAATAGGTAGGATATGGTTTCTTGTAACCAAGGACAGGTGGTGTGAGAGATGATTGGAATTCCTTTATTCCCTCTGCAATAAGTGTCTTTAGATCTATTTGAGGAGCAGGAGTAGAAGTTGATGCTTGTGGAGACGACTCTCTAGCAGATGTGCTTGCTTGAGCTGCCAATTGAGCAGCCAAAGATGCAATTTCTGCATCCTTTTCTGCCATCTTTCGTTGCATCTCTTGAATTTGTTCTTCTAAACTTGAAGTGCCAGTCACTATGACTGTCATAGGAGATGGCTCTTGGCCTTCTCCCAAGGACATAGCAATTCCTTGCAATTGTGAAGTAATTTCATCCACAGATTCATCTTATTGAATTGAAGATTTATGATCTTCTTGGATTAGTTTAACTTTGGAAGTGACAGACTCATTGGTCAAACTTGAACTTGACATGTCTTCAGAACTTTTCAACAATCGAGCTCTTGCTCTAGTGATAGGGCCTTTATAAGGCTTAAGTTCTTCATTGGGCATAGTGTATACCCCCGGTGCAAAGTAAAAATTTGCTTGTTTAGCAAACATGTATCCATTAATAAAAGCCCATTTTCTAGCTTCCATATCTGATTTTGCTTTCTTTGATCTTTCTGTAGCAAAATCAGCAAGGGAAATGGGAGTTCTACTTTGTAGCTTTTTAGCCTTTGAGGCCTCTTGGATCTAGGCTTACGAACAGGAATTGGAGATTGTTTTGAAGATCCTTCAATTCTAGTTGAAGGCTTCTGATTACGAATAATTTTCTTCCCACAAGAGGAAGAACCTTTTCTACTTGAATTTCCGAGTTTAATTACTTAGGGCTTCACTTGTGTAGATGAAGGAACATCTATTGCCTTTTCTTTTTTTAGTGACCTTCTTTTTTTTCTCTTTCTTGATCTTTTTCTCCACCTTAGTGACAGAAGACATAGTAGCAGAAGCAAGAGGATTCACGTCCACAGTAAATGTTGCCTTGTAGGAAGGCTTCTTAGAGCCTCCTATCTTTTCCTTCTTCGAAGCAGTCAGTTTGTGGTAGTAGACAACCACTTTAGGTGCCATGTCTAAGATATTTCTTCCTAAAAGTAGATAATATTGATATAAGATTTACGCATACCTTTTTTTTTTCTCCTTTTGTTCTATACTCTACGTCAGAGATTGAAAGGAAAATAGGTCCCATCGGGTGTGCCAAAATTATGTTGGTGTGAAAATTTTTATAAATTCTCATGCAACATAATTCAGTCAATCAAGTGATTGAGTTTTTATTATTTTAGGTAAGGCCCATTTAGGGAATCATACAGATTGTTCCCCTTAGTTACATCTCCACAAGAAAGTAGAGAACACCTTTTGATTCTGACTTGGAGAAATGAACGCATAGAACAAAAGAAAAGAACAATTGGGTACTTAAAAAGAACTTTTCATTTGCTTTTCTTTTACATCAAGTGTACAAGAATGAGAAGAAAGAAAAAGAAAATACAGCAATACATTTCTCTTTTCTTTTTAATTACAAAGAAAATTTCCTTCTCACTCCTTTCTTCACAATAAGTTGTAGTCAATCAGATGAAATTCTGATTGTAGACAGCCTTAATCCTTGGAATTTTGAATACAAAAAGGGAACCGTAGTCGATCAAACAGAATACTTGATTGTAGACAATTTTCATCCCTCTGCTCTTTATTTTCATTTGAAGGGAACCATAATCAGCCTTCGAGAATTATACTATAGATGGTGTAATCCTTAACTTTGTCTTGAAAGAGGGACCATAATCAACCAAGTAGAGGCACCTGGTTGTAGATGGTTTATTTCCCTCTACCCTTCATTTTCATTTGAAGGGAACCATAATCAGTCTTTGAGAATTAGATTGTAGATGGTTTAATCCCTAACTTTGTCTTGAAAGAGGGACCATAATCAACCAAGTAGAGGCACCTGGTTGTAGATGGTTTATTTCCCTCTATTTCCTTTCTCAAAAGTGAAAATAAAAGAGAGAGGAAGAAGGATGCATAGCAGAAGACATATATAGGAAGTATTCACAGAGAGGACTTTCTTTTTTCTACTTGTATTAGTGAGACTTTTCCTTCACTGCCTTCCCTTGGGCACTTACTTTTTCTTCTCCCCTTATCTTTGCTTTTCTCATGAATCTCTTGTGAAAATTTTCTCCGAAGAGTCTCTCTGTCTGTGTTTCTAGCTTCCCCTTAAGGAGCTTAAATAGGGAGTGGGGTAGTTATGTAACTACCCCCTCCTCCTAGGTGAAGGACACCTGTCCCTCCCATTTAAAGAGAGGGAACTCCCCACTTAAAGAGGGGGAACTCCCATACGGGATACTTTTTTATAGTTTTAATGATTTGGCTAGCAGACTAGCTAACCCACTTATTACATATTATTTGAATAAAAAAATGACTTCAACAGACAGATATGGGGTCAAGTTGCTTTTAGATTGTGTTGCCAAATATCCAGAGGACGTCATTTCAGATGATTGTGTTGAAGTTGTTGGGAGATTGGGCAAAGAGCTGGGTAGGAAAAGAAAAGAGGTTGGAAAGTGTTCGTTGGTAAAAGGTGTTAAAGATGTTGGCAAGATGTCAGTGAATACAAAAAAAGATGAATTCAAAAAATAGTCAGTTGGTCCTGGTTGAAAGGTGTGTGACTGTGTGATGCTGGCCCATCCAATAAGTTTAAAAGACTGTAAGAGAAAGAATCCTTGTAACCGACCTTTTGACACATGTTTGGAGGAGTTTGAAGGGGTTCCTGATTGTCAAATAAACAATCTTTGTTATGCAGATCAAGAGACATAGGAAGATGGCTCTGAAGCTAGGGAGGTCATCAAAGAAACCATAGTTCAGGGTCCGAGTTTGAGTTAAAACTAAAGCTGTTGAAGAGGCTGAAGAAGAGATGATTTGGTTCAGGTTCTTTGCTTCAAGAGAGGGAAGTGGAGTTTGACAAAACTTATGCTGTTTAGAGAAGGATAGATTTGGAAGAAGTGGTTAATAAGGAGGGAGAAGTGAGAAAAACCTTGGTGATTTCTTTGTTGTTTATGAATTAAAATTCTAGTTGATGCATGAAAGGGTCTCATCTAATGAAATATATATTTTTCTTCAATCCTTGTTACAGCTTTGCTTGATTTTTTGTATCCCTCTTGATTGTTGGCGGGAAAGCAAAATTGATTAATCATTGGTGTTCTCATTAAGTATGATGTTTAATTGTACCTTACAGTAAGAATTTTCTCATCCAGGACTTTTTCATGATGACTTCGGGCAAACGAAAACGGGAGGACTACCAGCCACATATCCTTCCAAATGGATATATTCCTCAGCAAGATGGATCTGGAGATTCTCTGGATTGTTCTCTTCAAGAAAAGGTCTAACATATTCCTGAAACCTCCTTTTGGTTGACAGGTTCCTTAATATATGAATTTATTTTCACTTAAAACTATTCATTTGAAATTAGCAGTGTTTTGAAAACTGAACCACTCTGGACAGTTGAAACAGAAGAAGAATGTGGACACGGTCCTTCTGTCCTGGTCCCAGGTTTTATTCAGTTAGATTGTTCAGACCAATTATAACCATTGCTTAAACAGGGAAACCAGGGACCACACAACATTCTACTTCAACATCCAGTTTGGTTCCCAAAGCATTGGAGAAAGATTGCATTACATCGTTTTTTGGAATGTAAAATCCCACTTCTATAAGGGCCTTGTGATGCTTATTTCAAGTTGTTCGGTTTTGTGTGCTCTTTTGTGCAATAGCTGGATCTTGTTTCTGTTGTCAGCAACAGAATGCATCATGCTAACTGGTCCACTTGCAGAGATAAAGTTGACAGTTACAAATCAAAACAATTGGTCCTCAAGCAGAGGCTTTCAATGCACTATAACATAATTTATCAATCTGTTGTAATCACTGTATTATGTGGTGCAGGGGCATTGTGGTCTTTTTGCATCAACTTAAGGTTCTCTTAAATTAATAAGATATGGAGGTCCCACTCCAAACTTTTGGCTCTCTCAAATCTTTTCTTTCTCTCTTATTCTTCTCTTCTGTTCACGCACTAATCAAGATTTGTATCAGAGCACTGTATCCACAACTAGTGTTCCTCATGATCTACATCAGTTTTTTCTGATTTTTTTTAATCTCTCTTGTGATCTGAAAAATGGGGATTGGTTTTCCTGTTTCTCCTTGGAACTGATTGAAGACTACTAGCCTTTTTTCCCTCTTTTTCATCTTTTGTGGATCTCTTGAGTCAATGCATTGGTCAGCATAGTTTTCAAGGTGCCAAGGCAAGGCTAGGCGACAGGGGGGGTGCCTTGTCGCCTAGGCGATGGATTTTTTTTATGTAAGAACATAGATCCTAGGGTAGTTCCCTAGGTACCATAACCATATTTTCTTAATAATTATTAATAATTTTCATAAGAAAACTATAAAGTTCATGTTTCGGTATAGAAAATCAACATATTCATGAGAAGGAAAAGAAGAAAAAAAAGAAAATTGAAAAAAAATATAGGGGCTGAACCCTTATTTTTGTTACAGGAATATAAGAAAGGAAAAAGTAGAAGGTATGAGAAGAAAATTTGTTGATTAGACAAAATTTTAAGTTCTACATTATAGAACTTCTTATCCTTTGAGTAATAAAAGGGTTGATTTTCCTTTCAAAGTTCATTCTGATGTGTTGGGTCCTGCTCTATTAAGTCGGTGCAGTTTTTTTAGTAGTATGTGACTACTCTCAAGCGATGGTAGTTCTGATTAAGCCCACTATTGTTCCACAGCCATATAGGTTGAATTGTGATGGCCAGAAATGTGGCAGATGCATTAAAGTTGCCTGAATGGACCAATGCAATGGTGGAAGAGATGAATGCCCTCTATAAACTAAACATGGAAAATAGTAGACATTCAAGATGGCAACAAGCTAATTAGGTGTAAGTGGGTTTTCTCAGTGAAGTGCTGGGTGGATCTATAGAAAGGTACAAAGCCATGTTGGTTGCTAAGGGTTTCATGTAGATGCAGAAATTGACTACACTGAGACTCTGTGGTTAAAATCGAATTTCATTAATATATTTTATATATTAATATATGCTAATTATTAAAAAATATTATATTTTCTAATATATATTATATTACATTATAATATAATATATATTATATATAATGAATTTTGTTTAATTTGGTTTTTTAGTTGACCAAATTTTCAATTTTGAAAACTGAAACCCATTTTTCGGTTTTAATTGAATAATGCTCAGCTTTTTTTCCAATGGAAAAGATGAACTCTTTCCATTTACTCCTAGCCTTAGTAGCTAACACGGGTTGGCATTCTCATTAGTTAGATATCAGGAATGCCTTCCTAAATGGTGACTTCGAGGAGGAATTTATATGGTACACTGCTTGGATTCCATGCTCAATGTAGTGAAGGAAAAGTGTGTAGGTTGAAGAAACTTGTCTATGATTTAAAATAATCACAGAGAGTGTGGTTTAGTAGATTAACGAGGTAGTGCAGCTTGTGGACTTTAAACAAATAATGCCAGGTACTTTGTACCAATTTTTGTTAAGGGGCAAGAAGAGAATGTTGCGATGCTAATTGTGTATGGTGATGACATTATGCTCGCTGGGAATTGGTAGTTGGAAAGTTAGAGGCTAAAGGAGTTTCTTGGTACTCAATTTGAGGTTTGAGATCTAGGCCCACTAAAACATTTCCTAGGGATTGAAGTTGCTAGATCTGATGAGGGTATTATTGTTTCCCAAAGGAAATACATCGTAGATCTTCTTCAGGGTGCAAGAAAACTAGGGTGTAAGATGCCCCTATTGAACAAAACCACAGACTTGGGTAAGCTAGTAGTGTGACGATTTCTCATGTAAAATAGTTCTACAAGCTTGTAGGTAGGCTTCTTTGTCTTTCTATGTCCAGACCAGATATAGCCTGTGTTGTTGGAATTCTAAGCCAGTGCATGCATGCACTCAAGGTGGCACTTTCACTACAACTGAGTCCTCAAATACTTGAAAAGGCACCTGGTAGAGGTATCCTATTCTTTAGACATGACCATTTGAGAGTTGAAGCATACAGACATGTAGACTGGGCTGGCTCCATAGATGACAGGAGATTTACCTTAGGGTATTGCACTTTTGTAGGAGGCAACCTTGTGACCTGGCATAGCAGAAAAGCAAACAGTAAATGCCAGATCAAGTGCTGAGGTAGAGTATTGGGCTATGGTGCATGGTGTGGCTGAATTTATGTGGGTGAAAATTGTCCTTCAGGAGTTGGGATTCCCAGTGAGTCGGTGACCAGCCTAATGTCACTCCACTGTGACAACAATGTGGCTATATATAACAAAATAGGAATGATAGATATATAACCCAACTTGAGGGGGTGTGTTGTAATTATTACTATATTACGAGACAAAGGGGCATTGTGGTCTTTTTGCATCACCTTAAGGTTCTCTTATATAAATAAGATGTGGGACCCACCACTCCAAACTTTTGTCTCTCACAAATATTTTCTTTCTTTCTCTCTTTCTCTTCTGTTCATGCACTGATCAGATTATACAATCTATTGAGCAATGCCTCACTTTTTTTTTCTCAAATGCAAATTTGCAAGATAAAGCAAAATTGGATAACTAAAGTCATCATGGGATTACATCATGGTCTGGAATCATTATGAACTTAATCTGATTAAGTTGGATACGAATGTCAAATATCATAAGTGTGCTTATAATAGTATCCAATCTGGATCCAGTCTGATTCAATTCAATTAAACTGTATCTGACAAAATTACTATATAAACACAGATAACTGTATAAAATTTTGGTTGAAGTATTATATTTTTTGCTAAATGGTTTTAGGTTCAAATATCATGGAAGTCATTTTTAATTTATCACATTGAAGATATAATATCAAAATCATTTCTATCTTTTTTAGTAAAAATATGTAACATTGAAGTCATTTTTTGGTCGGTTTTATTTATGATACACATCAATATTTAGAGAACTGAACTGTGCATAAAACCAAAAAAGGGAGAGGTTCACGGGTCAGAGGTTCAACCCTGGTTGAACCGTGATAATGTGGCATATACGTATATATACTATGGATCATATAAATACTATATTAATATATTTTGTAAACGGTATTATACTAAAATATGGATGGCAAGTTCCTTAATTTTTAAAGCATACGACCAAGGTTCAAGTCTATTAGTTTACATTTTCTTTAAAATACGTGTGAAATAAAGTAGCAAATACAATAGTCATTAATTAACACAAATAAGGAAGTGGACTCATGGTAATTAAGAAATACTTAAAAATAGGAGGCCATGGGTTTACTCTTGTCGCATGCATTTTGAAATTTCATTTATTTAATGGGTTCTTTCACAGATGGGTTTGCTAGGGAAGAGGTGAATAGAAATTCTGTTATCTGCGCTCAGATGTAATTGTTTTTCTTCTTTTTTGGGTGTCTGGCATCCATGGGGAGTTAAAATGATTTAGCTACCCTCCTTTGTAAGTTAAATTTATTCTGTTAATGAAATTTCCTGTTATGATAAAAAAATATTTATTTAATGATCCGTGCAATTTCATGAAACCAGGACCAGTTTTCTAGTTAAACCCGCTGATCATCCAGTTTTCATCAGGTTTTTAGCAATTCTGGTTCTTGGGGTGTGACGAAACAGCCAAGGCCCCGGGTCATGGTTCAACTGGTTTCCATCGGCTGGTCTAGTCCGGTTTCCTAAACATTGCAATTATATATAACACAATGGATCAACGAAAATTTCTTGTACATCATTCTTGTATTATAATTAATAAAATTGTAATGTTATCTATAAGCAGCTAGAAGGGACCCAAGCAACGTACAGACTGGTGTTAAAAGGACCTTCATGTTCTGTGGTGCTATTACTTTATATGTTGCTTCTGAGAGAGGGACATAATCTTAAAGAAATTTGTGTATTGATTAGTAAAAAATGCTGTCAATGGTTTTGAAATGACTTGAATTGTTGCCTTTGATTATATATTCACAATTTTTATTATAAAAATACAAAAATGATAAACACTGAGGTTCCTTTCAAGCTATGAGGAAAGATAGGACTATCATGGATCAGATCAGATATACCTATATTAAAAATGATTTTTTTAATATTTGAATTCTGACTTTATTCATCAGTTTTAGGTTAAAGTTGGATTAGATATGGAAATTGAACACCAAACTAATAAAGCTTGATATATCTATCATAAATGCGATTGCATGGAAATAACTTTTATGAGATTTGAACTTAAAACTCTTTCGTAAATTTACAGCATTCAAATTAACTTTACTCTTAGATATATATTAATTTAAGGTAGATATAAACGTGGTTTGCAATTTTGATACCGATGGACATTTTGCCATGTAG